CTCTACCTCCTCTTAACTCTGTAAACGTACTACGCCTCTATCTCCTCTTTAACTCTTGTAAAGTACTAGCCTCTACTTCCTCTTTAACTATTGTAAAGTACTAGCCTCTACCTCCTCTTTAACTATTGTAAAGTACTAGCCTCTACCTCCTCTTTAACTCTTGTAAAGTACTAGCCTCTACCTCCTCTTTAACTCTTGTAAAGTACTAGCCTCTACCTCCTCTTTAACTCTTGTAAAGTACTAGCCTCTACTAGTGCCAATGGTATGTCATTCCATAAGTCAATCATCCTGTTAGAAAAATAAAACTGTCTTAACTGGAGCCTAGACTGACTTTTCCAATTTTAAAACTTGTGTACTATCATCATATTATCTTCAGACTAGAGGAAAAAAAGAAATAAGAGGGTCACCTCCTACCCAATTTTTCAAAAGAGAAAATAAAGAGATCTTAACCTATCCTTGTAACAGAAACCCTCTCATTCTCACAATAACTCTATCAGCTCTTCTCTGAACACTTTCCATTAAATCAATATTCTTTCTAAGATAAGGAAACTAAAACTGTCCACAGTTTTCCAAATGAGGCATAGTTAATGATTTATATAATTATTTCTTCTGTAATCAATGCTTAAAAATGAGCCTAAAATTCAACTGGCTTTATTACCAACAACAGACCACCACCTCGATGACTTAGGTTATCCAACACTATGGTAAAATCCTTTTCTTCAGTCTTTCTATTGAATGGGTTCCCTTCTTTATAAAATGTATGATCCAAGTAACATTAACCCATAATTAACCTATAATTAAGTTATTTGACAAATATTTGTTCACCTTGCCAACTGATCCAAGTCATTTTGTAGTACCTCCACACCCACCTTCAATACAGCTAGAAATACTGAAAAGTTTAATGTAATCAGCCCTTTTCAACAACATTAAGGTATATAAGAAAAAGCAAAGGCCCAAGTAAAGACTGCTAAAACACTCCACTAGAAACAAAAGTCCAGTTTAACTGGAATCCATTGGTAATAACCTTTTCCTTTCTCTCAACCAATGGCCCTTATAAGTCCAAACTTCTTCAATAAACCATATAATAACATTAAGATTCTTCCTCGGGTCAAGGTGACTGTTTAAACATATTCACATACAACATAAATTGAAATATATCGCATTTATGGGTGCATGTAATTTTGAGTTAGATGAGAATATTTTTTTTTCATTATGAAGCCAAAAATATAAATTCAGAAAAACATATCCATAGATTTTTTATATTTCTAAAAGAGTTTCTACTGAAAAAAATAACTTGCAATAACAACAAGGTATATCTTGTATTGTTATAGTTAAAAAAAAACTGTTAAGATAATACACATAGGATAAAATATGTAGTAATGGCATAACTACAGTAAATGTAACACAAATACTACATGCAAAATAACAGAGTGGTACAAAATCATACACTGGACACCAGGGAGGAGGGACAGTAGCTTGAAGGCCTTCTTCTGCTATCCACAGTAAATGTTGCTCTTGGTCAACATCAATGCCCAACTGCTTTCCATACAAAGCAATATCTGAAATGAAAAAAACATGCATTTAAAACATGAACCAGTACTACAATTAGACATGTATGTAATATACAGTCATTAACAACATGCACATGCATTTAAAACACGAACCAGTACTAATATTAGACATGTATGTAATATACAGTCATTAACAACAAGCACATGGTTTAAAACATGAACCAGTACTACAATTAGACATTTATGTAATATACAGTCATTAATAACATGCACATGGTTTAAAACATGAACCAGTACTACAATTAGACATTTATGTAATTTACAGTCATTAATAACATGCACATGGTTTAAAACATGAACCAGTACTACAATTAGACATGTATGTAATATACAGTCATTAACAACATGCACATGCATTTAAAACACGAACCAGTACTACAATTAGACATGTATGTAATATACAGTCATTAACAACATGCACACGGTTTAAAACATGAACCAGTACTACAATTAGACATTTATGTAAGATACAGTCATTAACAACATGCACACGGTTTAAAACACGAACCAATACTACAATTAGACATGTATGTAATATACAGTCATTAATAACACTCACATGTATTTAAAACACGAACCAGTACTACAATTAGACATGTATGTAATATACAGTCATTAACAAAATGCACACGGTTTAAAACACTATATTACATAAATGTCTAATTGTAGTACTGGTTCTGCATGTGCGTGTTATTAATGACTGTATATTACATACATGTCTAATTGTAGTACTGGTTTGTGTTTTAAATACATGTGCATGTTGTTAATGACTGTATATTACATACATGTCTAATTGTAGTACTGGTTCATGTTTTAAACCATGTGCTATATTACATAAATGTCTAATTGTAGTACTGGTTCATGTTTTAAATAGTCATTAACAACACGCACATGGCGATAATAACCCAAAAGTCTTGTTAAGCCTACCTACTAATTTATATGCCTCCCATTGCACCAATGCTGAAACTTTTTTCTTTCTTTGGTAACATAAGACTTACACTATCCAATGCCCCTTAAAACTACAGGTCATTAGTAAATTTACTCATTTCAAAAAAAATTAATGAAGTACTCACAGTAATCAATTCTTTGATAAAATAAGTGATTGCTGGTCAACATCTTTTATATTAAAGTAATTTTCGTAGTTTAGAAACCAGTATTTATATAACTAGGTCTCTGACATGCAAAAGTATTCCTGCTGCATATTTCATTACATACATAAATTCTTAACATCTATCTTATTGGGGGTACATAATGTAAAAGTCTTTAATACTGGATCTTAACATTTTGTATGCATGTTGTCTAGACTCTCTCTCTATTTGGTTAACATTCCGTGAGTGAAATCATGACTTCAGACATGTTACCTTTTGAGGAGATTTCTCATTTAGTATGCCTGTACAGTTAATGTTAGAAAGATACGTTAAACTTGAGGGAGTTTTCACTCTTACTTTCATTAATAGTGATAGAAAGAAAAACATTAATAAACTTGATATAAAAAGTATGTATTTTACTATACCTTCATCAGTCACACATTCTTCAATTTCATCTTTAACTTCTTTTAATAATTTCTGTTGTCCATCAGATGTACAAGTATTCATTGCAATTAAAGAAGAAAATGCTTTTTAAATTAGACTGGTAAGTTCCACAGGTAAGTTGATTTATAAAATTGGTCATATCTAACTAGTCAGCCAATAATAAATATAATTATAATAGAGGGTGCAATTACACTTATTAATAATAGTTCAGGATGTTATAAAACAAATTCTCTGTTCCTATAAACGGTATTTTACGGAACAATATAATTTAAAAGGAACACGTTAACAACACCTTGCCTTCGGGTGGTAAATCAAACTACGAATAGTAAGATTACTTATCAGAATTCAATGTAGAAAATAAGTCTTATACTTTATAACCAGGCCCTACCCATGACAGCGTATAACTTAAAAGATGGTAAGAGCAAAGGAGAACTTGTGATGTTTCAATAGTCTTCTTTACATATTAACAATACACCCAAATTCAAAGTTACAATTTTATTTTTGGTTACTGGCACATTTTCTAACCACTGAACAAGTAACTGTTGAGTAATGTAGGGCTAACTTTGGCTTTAACGTTTTAAGTAGGATAAAATTGTCATTTTTATGGCACAAACGAGAAAAGGGTATATAAAAATTCTTCTAATATTAATAAGCTTAACAGTCAAATGAGAATATTATTTACAACTAAAAATCCCAAGCAAAATAACCGACGTCTTATTTGAAAAGTAGAATCTCAAACAAATATAAGTGCTCCCTGGTGTAAAATAAGTTCATCAAAATATATAATGGATTATTAATTGTTTTTAAGGCGTTAAAATGAGCTTTAATTAAATAATATAAAATTTGTTTCAGCAATAATAAACATGAAATGGTTCATTTAGAGAAAAAAAAATGGAAATATTTGTGTGTGTGTGTGAGAAACAAATATTAATGTTGTGGAGAGTAACAAGAATTTGGGTGTGATGATTAATTAGCCTTACTCACTACCATGTTGGTTTTTAGTTTTATTTTAAATAAACAGGTTGATCTGATCGAAATTTAATATTAATCGTAAAACATATAAATTTGCTTGAAAAAGAACAAAAGATCAAGATGTGCTATGATTAGCATGTTCAAGGTTGTAAAAGGCTTAACAGGTTCATAGTGGGCAAACTCTTAAGTTTAAAACAACATTTTTGAAAATTTGACAGTCTTAACTTGACCAGTAAAAATATGAATTTTGGAAGCTTAATTACGACTTGTTTCAGGCAAATGTTTTATTTAGTGTTATTAATTTTTGCGATGACTTATTTGAATAAGTGTTCTTTACTAACAGCCCGGATTACTTTTAAAGTTAACAATTTAAAACATTTCATTTTTTAATGGAATGTTTGTTTGGGGTTATTTGAAGTTATATTATAACCCAGATAATGTCAACATGCCTTATGTTCCCTTTTTTTAGAAATAGTTAATTAAACATACAGGCGAATTTAAGTTAACATATAAGTTTGGTTTGTCAATAAGAACAATGTCCTGATATTATCGTGCAAGTGAATTCAATCCATATTTATTCATTCACAATATAATTCTAATAGAATATCATTCCAACCTCTACAAGCAAATAGGCATCCTACAATTTGTAATTTTGAAAATCAAACTGTAAATTTCCTTATCTCACAAAGTACTATACATTCTTTAAAAGAAAGAAGAAGAAGAAAAAAGAAGAAGGCATACCTCAAGTCACCTTGAAGAGTTCCAAAGTTTTATAGCCGCTTTGTTTGTTTGTTGAATTTCGCGCATAGTTACTCGAGAGCTACCTGCGTTAGCCGTCTCTAATTTAGCAGTGACAGACTAGATGAAATGCAGCTAGTCAATACCACCAATCGTCAACTCTTGGGCTACTCTTTTATCAGCGAATAGTGGGATTGACCGTCACATTATAACACTCTCACGGCTTCAAAGGCGAGCGCGTTCGTTGATGAGGTTCGATCCTACGACCTGCAGATTGCGAGTCTATTGCTTTAACAACCAAGCCATGCCAGGCTTTAAATGCGCAAAAAATATTCACTTCACTCAACTATTTATTAAGTTGCCTGAAGTGAATTTAATTTTTATTGCTTGCAAAAGGGAAATTAAATAATCAGATCTCACTGGTATCCTTTTAGGTCTAATATGAAAACTTTATTATTTGATTTGTAGCTGTATCTATTATAATCCAAATGAGTGAATCTAATTAAGCCTGAAGACTTTTCGTTTTGATGATTACATATCATATTGCGCATACGTAATCTGGTTCCTATATCTTCCATACTGTATGTTATCGAGTAAGAAACAAAAAATGACCGTTCCTTATAATTAAATACGGTAGTACTTAATAGTAGGGATCGTGATGAAACAAAATGGCGGTCATAAACATTCCCCGGGTTAAAAACAACCCTTCAAAACTAAAGCTTATTGTACTTATAAAGCCACCTAAATGGCTACTCACGCGTTTATGGAGGGAATCAAAATTTCACTATTTCAACGAATGTTTATCTAAGTAAGTAAGTGACTTTCCCAGACAAGCGTACAGAAAAAACGACATAACACAACATAATGTTTTGGAACAGCATTGGACCTATTGGTCCATTTCGGCTGTCCCGTCCTCTAAACTAAACTAAAACTATTAACCAGAAAATTTATAAAAGAATCTTAAACCAGTCCTTATCATTTATATACTTACCAAGCTTTCTCTTAAACTTACTTAAATTTACTGCCTCTACGACATCCAAAGACAACCCATTCCATAGGCCAACCACCATGTTAGAAAAATATAGCTATCTTAGCTGAAGATGACTCCTACTCTGCCAAAATTTATATTTGTGTCCCCTAATCTTACTATTCTCACTGTTAAGTATGAAAAAAATGATGCACAAACACTGTAAATTTCCTTTACAATCTCATATATCTCAATCAAATCCCCTTTAACTCTTCTTTTTTCAAGAGACAACAATTTGACAGATTTCAACCTCTCCTCATATGACAACCCCTCCATCCCAGGCACCATTCTAGTACCGCTCCTCTGAACTCTTTCCAACAAGTCAATGTCCTTCTTAAGGTGAGGTCGTAAGGAGCCCAAAACTGAACACAATACTCCAAATGCGGCCTAACCAGTGATCTATACATTGAAATCATAACATATTTAGACTTGTATTCAATATTTCTGTAGATACAACATAAAATCCTATTTGCCCAACCACTAGCAATAGCACACTGCTTGGATGGATTAAGCGACTGATCAACTATTACACCAAGATCTCTTTCTTTCATGACACTGGTAAGGTTATTTTCATCCAAATTATACTTATAATTCACATTATGATAACCCAAGGCATTATCTTTAATTTATTATAATCAAAATCCATTTACCATTATCTGCCCAACTCACTGAATGATCTAAATCTTTTTGTAAACCAGCAGAATCCTCTTCACAGCTAGCAACACCCAAGACCTTAATATTATCTGCAAATTTAAGTAATTTATTGACCATTTCTTCATCTATGTCATTGATGTAAATCAAAAAGAGCAAAGGTCCTAAGACCGTGCCCTGAGGTACCTCACTTGTAACATTAATCCAGTTTGAATGAACTCCATTTGTAACAATCCCCTGCTTTCTTCCATCCAGCCACTTTTCTATCCAATTTGGTAACTTATTCCCTACTACTATAGAGATATTTTTACAAGCTTTTCATGTGGCACCTTGTCAAATGGTTTCTGAAAATCCAGATACAACAAATCTACACCCTTATCCTCATCTACATCAGTAGTAACCTTTTCAAAGAATGTCAAAAGATTTGTAAGGTAAGATTTTCTCTTAATTAAGCCATGTTGACTATCCAATAAAATTCTAAACTTTGTTAAATGGCTTTGCAAAGCATCTTTTATCAGACTTTCCAAAACTTTTCCCACAACTGATGTAAGATGAATGAGCCTATAATTACTGGGACATTAGCTAACTTCCAATCCTCTGCTACCTGTCCACTATTCAAGGATTGACAAAAAATAGTAGCAAGTGGCTCACATATCCAATCCTTAACCTCCTTCAAAACCCTTGTGGAAATATTATCTGGCCAAGGAGCTTTATCATTCTTTAAACTTCCCAATTTTTTCTTAGCAAGCTCAGAATTAATGCAGTTATCTTGTTTGATCTTGTTTTCATCTATCAACTGTTTAAGATGCGTAATATTGCTTAAATCTTCACTAGTAAATACTGAAGAAAAAGCAAAATTTAATAACCCAGCCATCTCATTATCATCAGATACGAGCATTCCTTTATCATCCCTCAAGGTTCCTACCCTCATCCTAACATCTTGTTTACCCTTACTGTTAATTTTTACAGTTTCAGCTAACCTTTTCTCATACATCCTTTTTGATATCCTAATTTCCTGTTTCACCAACTTTCTTGATCTTCTATAATCTTCTAGGTCTCTTGTCATACCAGTCAATTTAAATTTCTTAAATTTATGATGCTTTTCTTTAATTTTATTTCTTAAACTCTTTGTGAGCCAACCTGGTTTTTCACTTGTCGCTAGCCTTTTCTTTCTATAAGGAATATGTTTACATTGAATATTTAAAAATGCTCCATATCTGATCAGTGTCTCCAAATAACTCAGCTGCCCAATTCACAACAGATAATTCTTGTTGCATCCCTTCAAAATTTACTTTTTTTGAAATCTGTAACCAAAATATCATTATTCATTTTCTCCATATGCAGCAAAACATTGAACCTAATAGAGCAATGATCACTTGCACCCATATGTTCTCCAATTTCCATCCTCTTGATAATTTCTACATTTGAAGTTAAAAATAGATCTAAAATAGCATTGTTTCTAGTAGATTCCTTGATGAATTGGTAAAGAAAGCCATCTTGAACAGTTTCCAAAAACCTTTCTCCCACACACTTGGACAATAGTATTTCCAAATCTATATGCCTGAAATTAAAATCACCCATAATTATGACCTCATTAACAGCTGAAATCTTAATCTCATTGTAAAGTTTCTCACTAATTTCATCAGTATCATTTGGTGGTCTGTCACAAATTCCCACTAAAAACCTTTTCACTTTATATCCGCTAATAGAAACCTAAATGGATTCAATCTCTTTGCTATTATCTTTGATATCCTCAACTTCAACAGGATGTAACTCACAGTTTACATATAAAGCCACTCCTCCCACCCTCTTTAATACGTGTAACCATGTTTCAGTTGTTCCCATTATATCAAAATCCTCCATTTCTACCAGTTCTCTAACGTCATGTATCTTATTTCTTAAACTTCTAGCATTACAATAGTAACAATTAAGCCTACCCTTAGAACTACTTCTACACCCAATTCCTATGCTAAACTTTTCTCTGCCTCATATTATTTTTGCATTAATTTATCCTGGCTCTCACCACTGTCTAGTCCTAGTTTAAAACTTCCCTTACAGTTGAGTTAATAGCCTTAGCAAACAAGCCAGCCCCTACCCTATTTAAATGTAAACCATCCATTCCAAAAAGGTCCCTTCCACTGAACTGATCCCAGAAGTCCAAAGAGCCAATCTGTTCATCCTTACATACTACCATAAGCCTAGCATTTAGCCCTAGTGACCTACTTATAACTTCATCCCCACAGTTAATTCTGGGCAGTATCCCTTACAAAATTAAGTTATGGCCTTTTTCTTTAAATGCCTTTATCAACCTCTTGTATATATTAATTAATTAAAT